TGCATTAAGATATACTTAGTGTATCTAATTACAATGTAGTGTATTTTCTCCTAATACCAGATTTCCGGATACTCAAAAACATACTGCAGAAACAACCCTCCAGTAAAGCCTTCATATTCAGCCAGAAGTGCCTACATGCACTAGAACTTGTCCTCTCAGCCTTCCAACTCTCCCCAGCATGAAAACGAAATCTCTTTTCACCTTCTGCAGATCAGACAAGACTTTCAAATACTCTTTGCTCTAGCAGACTCCCAGTAGGATTCCTCTTGCCACCTCTGATTTTCGAATGTCTTTTCTCCCTCCAGGACAAAAGAGTGATTCCCCTTTGCAGACAAACGCACACAGAAATTGTTAAGACTTCACTTATTTACATTCTCAAACGTTTGTTATCACTTTTTGTAACCACAATATTAAGGCCGCATGTTTTCTAAAAGCAGTATTTTAAAAAAGTCAATCCTAAATTGCACGAATCACCAAGAAAAGCACTCAAGTTTGGAAGAACTGACAACCTTCAGCAGTATGTGCTAGCTACCGTCTAGTGGACTAGCACAAATATGACGCACAGAGTATTAAATCCAAAGGCAAGTTTCCACTGTCATCTGTACAAGCTCTTCTCACCATGCAACTCACTTAACCTTACGCAGTCACATACACGAAAGACCTCGCACAGGCACACTGCCAAAGTGCATTACTGAACAACCACTTCCAAGAGAGACAACTTGCTAGCAGCACATTTTTAAGGTACTTGAAACGTAGTTCAGTCAATTCATTCTGGTGATAGACAATGATCATATATGGTTGATACAGCTAACCATAAACCTTTGAAATCTGTGAGTAATACAGTAATTGTGTTGAGAAGAATTCAAGCTCAACATTTAAAACCATTACTTAGCTAAGTCAATGTTCCACTCACTTAGACCAAAGTTCTTCCCCAGCAGAATTAGGGAACAATTTGCAGCACCAGAAGAGACAGCACTAGCATTCATGGAAATAACAAGTAAAGCATGGGAGAGGACACAAACAAAAGAACCACAACCACCATCACGCCTCCTCCCCAGGTAAAAAAAAAAAATACACTACCACTTTCAGGCAGGAAACTTCACAGCAGCATTTATTGATGTAGGTGCAAATGAAGAAAAAAACTTTTCAAAAACCCCCACAAATAATCTCAATAACCTGGGGGAGGGGCTAGAAGGGGGATATGCTCCTATCCACTTTTTCCCCTCTGTCCCTGGCCAAGAGTTTAATGCTTTTTATTTTAATAATGTTCTAATACAACCGCCCACACATTTGCAATGAACCTACATACTGCACTAGGACCGTAACTATATCCCAGCCTTTATGGCTTGAAGAGAAAGCAAATAATCGCCCCCTCCTTCCCACAAGAACCCACAGATACATAGCTGCCTTTGTAGAGACAACAGATCTGGCAGACAGGATTTAGCTCTTAGGCTGGAATGTGGCACCAGCAAACCATTCCTCTCAAAACAGGAGCACACACACTCCTTACAGACCCAACTGGCAAACCTTTATAGCATGCTACTGCAAATTTATCAACTAAGATCAACAGTATATGAGAACTTTTGCACAGTGCATTTTGCTCTTCATACTTCGCTCTTCATTTTTTCATCATCAGCACATAGGAGCAGTTAAACTGGATCAAACCACCCATCCAACCCAACTCAGAGTAGAAACCTACAACAATCAGTATAAACAGAATTCCAAATGGTGGCCTGACCTAAACCTAGGAAGCGAAACAAAAATCCCTCTTTGACTAGCCAAGGAAGACTCCAATGGCAAAAACAAAACCAAAAATTAAGTAACAAAAAACGACTGCCACTATTGCTCTGCTTCAAAAATAAAGGATTAGCTAGGAAAAGAAATTAAAACCTTCATTTTGACCACTTATCACAAAGATAACCAAACAAACTACAAAACCTCACTTTGCAACTATATTCATGTATGTGTATGCACATATATAAAATACTTTAACACCAACCTTTTTAATAGATTGATACTCAAACTCACTTGTTTTGTTGCACAGCTATTGAAACATATGGTTCAGAATAATCTAGAACTAGCAGCATAATTCCATAATTCATTTTCACAGCCACAGTTCCGAAGTGGTCTGTTTCAGGCGCCTGCATTTCTGTTCTAAGCACACGTAATACTCCATGTAGTCAGGAAATAAAACACACCTCCAATTTACAGAATGCACATACAGCCTCCTCTCTATCCACTCAACCTCCCAGAATTGCAAGCTAATAAGAGCTAGTACTTCAGAGGGCAAAAATCAAACCAAGACCAGTGCTGCAGTCCTACAAAATTAGAAGTTAAGTGACACTAACCCTGAAAGTGCGAAGAAAACAAACCAGACAAGTACTATATTTGCTAAGGCCATGTTTGACCACTGTATGCAGAGTTCAGTGACAATCATTCTACCTCAGGCAATCATCAGGTCTACCCTATAGCTCTCTCACTGCTACCCATACACAGCACCGAGTAGCCTTAGTTAAGGGTGAGGAAAATAAGAAGAGCTTTCTGACATGGTTTACCTGCAGGAACAATTAAAAGTAGCATTTGGTAAGTTCTAAATATATTGTTTTACTTCTCTGTGAAAGTGATTCTGCTTTTAAACCAGAGGAAAGATGAGCTCATGGTGGGCAGGAGGGCAGGCATCTCTGACTGCTGCCTCCTTAAAGGATAGGCAGGGTATGAAAAATCAAAGTTCTTCCTAAGTAAGTTAGTGAAGGTGTTGTCCAGTCTATTAAATAGTCTCTACCTGAACTGCACAAGCAGTTCTATAGACTCATTTGAAGTGAGTTCTTTGGGACCACAGTCTCTACACAGCAATACTGTATCTTCAGAAGTTGCCAGAGTGATGAAACACTACCAGTTCTAAATCAAGCACATCGATCTAACAGCCAAGGGAAAATGCACCAAATATAAATGAGCCCTGTCTCATTTTGTCATCATACAATTTTCAGCTGGCCTTGCCCTCTAAATATATACGGATGAGAATATAATTAAGAATAACTCACAAACAGATCACTTGCCAGGTTTAAAATAGGAGGCACACCGTATTGATGGGTTTCCCTCTCAGTTGTATTTTCTATGGTCTTATTTGCACAGGAACAGCTGCTTTCCAGACTTTTTTCCCCCTACTATCTCATCAGAGAGTATTGCTCAAGCACTATAGGAAAGACTCCAGTACAGCCTAATGGCTGTGGTGTCACTATGCACACACCCTTTTCTTGTGAATTTTATCTGTGATTATACAATCACTACTTTACACAACAATCCTCACATGTAAATGAAGGTCCCTCCTAATTGAAGTAATATTCAAGAGCCTCACAGGAAGGTTTGACACTTTGATTTCAATAAGACTGTAGCCATAACCAAATAGGTTAGGAATACTTAGACAAGTTTTTCTAGCCTACTAATCCTCTAATTAACTGCTCAGCTTACCCTACTAAATACATCTGACCAATCTGCTTCTAGAAGACTTACAAAAAAACCACAGCAGCTATACAAACCTTGTTTGGACAAGTATGTCCAATAGACATCAACAGACTTCCATCAGACTCTCCAGAAGTTGCATTTTACTTTTATTTCCCCTAAACTGTATGCAGAGGGCAGTAAAGAAAGATGTGTGTGTGTGTGCTACTTAAAACACACCACAAACTCCAAGCTCTTAGAGGAAAAAAGTAGTTCTAAACAACCATGTTTTGCTTCTGGCACAGTTGAAATCTAATGTTTATAAGGAGTCTTACTTTGGTGGTTCTAGCAGGCATTACTCCAGTCACTGTCACACTGAGTACCACAACCTGCAAGAGAAGCCATGTCCCATCCCAGACAAATCAGACACATGTTTGGACAGTAAACAAAATGTTTGTGTTAATCAGAACACAAAATTAAATTGGGAGAAAAAGCCAGAAAGAAAAGAAGTCTAAGACCAACAACAGACTGGTCACAGTTGTGAATGGTCATCAACTATAGCACACCACAGCAACCCATCAAAAAACTGGGTTAGCGTGTACACAAGAAAAAAGGATGGCTTGATTCATATGAAAGCATGATTAAAATGCAAGTGAATGTTTGATTAAAATTAGAAGCACATTTGAATTCAACCTGAGTGTTCTGTGAGCCAGAAAATTTACCACCATGCATAAACTTAGCAAGTAATGTCACCAATCCAACACAAGATATCAAGTTGCATATCTAATATTATAGTAGCTACTTCACAAAGTTGCATTTTAACACTGCCTCACAGGGCTAAATTTCATTCAAAAAAATCCCTATCTCCATTCACTTCAATTTCTGAAGTCACACTTCAAAAAAAGCAGAGGTAGTGGAATCTTTGTAATAAGTCACCTCTTATCTTTGCCTAGTCTTCTAGGCGTAGGCATGCTTGATATAGTTCTGTGTCCAGACCTGAAAGCAGCGCCACAATAAAAATAAAAAAACTGATCAGTGTACAACAGAGACCCTTATAAATAAGGGCACCGCAATCTGATGCATTTTAACATGTCTAAATCAAACGCTTACCCAAGAAAATAGAAAATTTAGTCATTTTATATAACTTCTATAAAATAATTCAGAGATCTTTTAAGCTTCACAACTTAGGAAAAATCCATCCCATAGATTTTTAATTTCCAGGAAACTCTTAAGTAGCAATCCCTGTTACACACTGCATTGCAGTTACCTGGCAGTGGTAATGACAACCCATACAAGTGCTAAGCAATAGCTTGCAACACTAATACTAGAATTCACTACTCCATTGTAGAAACCCCCACTGAGTTTTGCATCTATGACACTACAATCTGAAGAAAACACTATTTTCATGAACATTGTACCTGAGTTACACAGCTCATTAAGTTCCTTTTTTTGTCAAAAAGATCAATAGGATGTTTCAAGATTCTTTACCAGAAACATCCCTGCTATACTTGCACAGAATCCATCAAAGCCACAGCTGATAACCTTCAAATTAAGAAAAGCTGATTCAAAGTAATGCCAAAGGAAAAAAAAAAAAAAACAGAAGGAAAAATAACCCAACCCAAAATACTCAACCAGTCTCAAAATCTGGTAGAACACTGTCATGCTTCTAACAGCACATTTTCTTTCTGAATTAAGCTGGTTACTATGATTAAGCAATTCTAAAAACACAGCAAATATCTTCCCTAATACAGAAATCTCTACTCAAAGTAATATTCCTCTTACTAGATCTTTCAAAAATTTCTTCCACAACTAGTGAGTTCAAGGGTAGCACTTCATTCTGAGGCACAGCTGCTAAAGATCACTTGCATCAAAGCACGTTCCAGCCATTATTCAGTTATACAGCTGCTATTTACATACAGGTTGCATTTTCTTCCCTTGACGAGCTTCTTCCATGCTGATGTGCAGAAGCAGAAGCGGAGAATGCCCTTGTACGAGACCCTGGAATGAACCTCCCCAGAGATCAGAGCCTGCGCATACATGACTGCTTTAGTTCGCTCTGCTCGACACAGATGTACTCCGGGAAATTGTTCCCTGGCCAATCACTCCCGCGCCAGTTTCTCATCTCCCAGGCCACTGATTACAGCTACCGCAGGGTCGCACAGCAGCAGAATGGGCAAGACAGCATGCCTTCAATTCCAGCTCGGAGAATACCAAAAAAGGAATTCAAGCAGGAGTTCCAGACTTACATTTTCTGCATCAACAGCTGCTAAGAACAGCTCCAAGGTAATATTTTTGCTCTGATCCAAGACTACATTAGCACTACAAAATGAAAGCACATTTGTACCTCAGGTCCCAGAACAGAACAACCCAGAAGTCAAACATCTGCTAAGTGTGTTTATAGCTGTATTAGTGACCTTTCACTGAATACTCATTCCAAAACAGGTTTTTTCAACACAAGTTTTTTTTGCTCCACAAAATAAACCAAGAAATTTTTTTTAAATTGTGTTGGGTTTTTTTTTCCTATTGAAAAGCCTTGCTGTCATTCTCCCAGAGTAAGACAGATCTCTGTACCAGGTATGATGCGAGTAGCTGTGTATTTCCTTGCTAATGACAGCCTTAGAAAATGCAACCTCTGCTGGTCAATACAGATCCAATTCAGAGCTTCATTTCATTCTTTCCCTCTTCATCACTGGCATACCTTAATCTCCTTGTCCCATTGTATAATGCATAGAAAAAATGGCTGTTTAAGGCGTTATCCATAACTTAACCTTCATGACATGACACTGCCTTCCTTGTTCTTTTTCCTTCCTTCATTCCTAATTCTTGTATGACAAGAACTCTAGTAATGAAGCTGGACTGGTGCCACCCCAACCAACGAAGAACTTGGAAAAAAATAAAACAAGTAACATACTGTTCATAAACTTGGTGCAAATATCAGCAGCCAAGGAAATACATTGTGCAGCTGTGAAGATGGTGTTTATCACCTAGTCATGCAGAAATCAGAGGGCTACATTCAGTTCCTCTCACTGCCTCAGTCCAGAAAATTCTCTAACCATAGACTAATAAAAGTATTCTCAGATAGTGCTGACAAGAGAGTTTAAAAGTAGTTTGTTTCCACTCTGTAAATAGACGTTCACTGTCACACATATATGCATCCTTTCACTTCTAAGCTATTGAAGGGCTCTCTGCTGCCATACCTACATGACCATAAACTGAATAATACATACAGGAAGCACAAACTTAAACAGAAATATCAGATACTTTAACTCTTAGTGATCTCTTCTCAACTGTTCATCCTAAATCAAACCTATGCCTGCTCTATTGCAGAGCACAGATTCATACAGTTCTTCAGCTGCTCATATGAATACTGCTGAATTGTGTCTTGGTGGGCTCTCCCATACTTTAATGGGATTTATTAGCATAAATCCATACTAGAAGTAATTCAGTCGCTGTAAGTACGAAAGTTGGTTTGTTTAGGCTGGGGGTGGGTTTGCGAGGGGAAAGAGGCTGTCCATTCCTTTGGGACAGAGTAAGGAGGGGTGGGAATCACACCTTTTAATTTTTTATTTTACTTCTTTTTTAGATTTGGGAAAGAATAATTGCTTGGTTTGGAAACTTAAAAAAAAACCCACCACTCTGAACCAGCTTATTGAAATCACTTCCTAGTCTGTAGTCAACCAATTCCTTGTTAAAAGTCACTCAGTCTTGGAACAAAAACACTGAAAAGCTTTATTCCTTCTTAAAAAATAGAAAGCAAAGAACATGCTCATGTAGAGCCAAACTGAAAAATCCAATTTTCTAAAATATAAACACTTTTTTTCAAACAGATGGGCATTTTTGTCTTTTAAGTCCCATACCAAAACACTTGGTGGATAAACGTCTGCTCTTCCCTAAGAATAAATATGAGTGAAAAGCTACACATTAAATGGAGAACAACTCAGCAACTTCCAACTGCAACTGTCTCAACATGTTTAACTACACAAGTATTCTAAAACAAACTGTAGGTAAATGTATTCAAAGTTATCACATCCTTGAACATGTTCAGTGACAACACTGAGAACTCAGAGCAGTATTTGTGCTGCAACAGTATTTTAACCATATGCTTGATGCTGCAAAAGAATCTCTGAAGTGTATGAAGGCCTTTTTTTTAGTAAATGTAAGTAGCTCTCACGAAACATGCTTTTCCATCAATCTTCCCTTCTTAATTTTCACTTTTATACCCCTTCAAGTTCCACTTATTTGATCTTATCTGTCTACAAAAGCCATTTTTTGAACAATGGGTCCAAAAGAGTATTCATTTATTATCCACACAGAAAACAAATATTTCATCTGAGCTCTTACATCTTTGCAAGAATTTGCATCTTATCACAAGTAATGCACCATTTCCTTGTAAGCAGTACAGGCTTCCATCAAAAAAAATCCTTCAAAATCAACTTAATTGGATCAATTCCAAAATCTCTGTTCACTATGGGGTGGAATGCAGAAACGTTTACAATGGATTAGAAGAGCAATTTTCAAGTCACTTGTTATGACTAGTTTCTCTGCAAAAATATGCCCTATCACACCTTACAGCAACACTAGCATGAACACACCAGCAGGCTGTATATTTCACTACAGCCACAAGCTCTTCTTTCCTACCCTCCAAATTCTGCTCTCAAAACAATGCAGCAATTATGATCCCAGCCTATCATGAAGTGGAAGTGAACTGCCTTACTGCAGGGTCTGCAGAGCATCCAGCAGGCAGAGCTGTGCTTAATCTGCCATTCTGAGATGGCAGGACATCGAAGTACCTGCAGTAAGTGGGACTACGCTCTCAGCAGGACTTACCACATGAACTCAAGCCCAGCACTACCAGACAGAGTCACACAGGAGCACAAGGAAACTGAGTGCTTGTTTGCTTGCAAGAGGCCATACTGACATAGTCACACATCTAGCCCAGTAAACTAGTAGATCAAGTATGAGGTTTCTGTTGGTACTTTAAAATCCTGTTCTGGGGGGTAGGCAGGCAGGGTGTTACAGTTGCATCCTTAGTCCAAACTCAACCCTTCCTTATATAAAGAAAGTAAGTGAGGAGTTGGACTTGATGATCCCTATGGGTCCCTTCCAACTCCAGATATTCTGATACTTGTGATCATCTTTTCTAACATTGTAGTCCCCCAAAAACAATCCACTTCACTTTCTTCATGTATCTGAAAGGACAGCATCTAATAAACTCAAAGCACTTCCTTTTAGAAAAGAGTATAAAACCCAAGAAATACTTATGAGATAGCAAGACAATACATCTAAATGAGGATTTACTGGGGGCAAGGGGAAGGGTGGCCCAGGTCATGGGGGAGTCAGGTAGGAGACAAGGTGCTAGAAGACTAAGATGACACAGGAGCAAGCTGTATGACACAGTGTAATGCTAGGATGCCAAATACCACTACAGATGGTTTGGTTCAGTTTCTTAGTAAATGGGAACATAGTAACTCATACTAAGAACAGCTTCCTAGGAGTATTTTATGACACAGAAATTAAATATAAGCCATTCCTCTAAGGACATATTATTGCCTTCACAAGGGATCACAGAAACATTTGCAGACAGTGGCTCATCATTTAATGAATTAAAGCTACCCATAAAACCCAAAAACTGACTCTCTACAAGTACTTTTCAGAATACCATTTCCACATAACACCCAGTTCCCAGGACATACATCTGCATAGCGCGCTTCAGCTTGCCTCAGTTTGTATCGGCACGTACACAAGGGATTGGGTGTTCCCAAAAAAAGAAAGAGGAAGAACAAAAGATAGACGTATTCTGTGCAGATATTCTCTGGTATATTGCCCCAGTAGAGGATTCTTGGGTTTCTCAGCACATTGCAGGACAGCTGTCAGAAGCCACCAGTGGATGCTGAGAGCAGGCATGAGGCAGATTGCTAGTTTAAGCCCACCTGACATTACACAATTACACATCATTCAGACAGCTGAGTACTTATTCTCTCGAGGAGATACCACTGGAATTTTTAATCTGAATCCTCATTAACAGCAAGATTACTATGTTCTCTACTGTACTATGTATGACTTCATTAGTCACCCCACAGCCCTGATCTGCATACACTGAGGAAGCAGAAAAACAAAAGATGTGTGTAAAGTTTTCCAGTACTTATTTCTGGACTCAAAAACAATCCTCAGTAGAGACAGGTGGAAGAAACTCACCATGTTCAAACAGAATCCTACCAAGATTTCACTCCAACATGTATGAGCATGTGGTCAGCATGCAAATGACACTGAGCTAGGCGAGGGGGGGGGGAAGTAGGTGGGTCATAGGGGGGTTGGGACACACACAGAAGAATTAGGATGATTTTCTAAATTCAAAGCTGCTCACTTTACAGTTACAACATATTCCTCATCACTTGCCTTTAACTAAATTCATCTCCAGGCCTTTTGGCAGCATTTTTGAGAGATAGTGTAATTTCTTTTTATCCTAAAAAAGTCTTAGATCACTGTGCAAGTTCACAAGAAGTATAAACCAGCACTGCTTCAACATTAAGGTCACCTAAGCAAGGCCATATGTTTAAATGCTCTACAATCACTTATACAAATATTAAATGTTCATCCTCTAGATTAACTTCCTAGAATAGATGGCACAGAAGTGAACAGCTGACAAGTCCAGATATGAAACAGCATAATATGGTGCAGATAATTTTGTTTTGTTTGTATTGACATTATTGAAAGTGCAGGCACAAGAAAACCTTTTCCTGACAGATCCTCAAGAGGAAAACAGAAAAGGGGAAAAAAAAAAAAGTCAAACCATCCAATTGCCCCTGGACTCTGTGCTGGTGAGGCCACATCTTGAGTACTGCATGCATTTCTGGGCCACTCAGTTCAGGAGGGATATTGAGGTGCTGGAGTGGGTCCAGAGAAGAGCAATGAGGCTGGTGAAGGGACCCGAGCACAACTGCTATGAGGAGAGG